TTGACCGAAATGCAAATTTCGGCCAGATATACAATTAAAGATGGAAGCTATCCTAATTCAGGATGGCTTAGACTTGGCATTGCAGGGAAAGGAGAAAAAACGGATAAAATGAAGAACGAAGAGTTTTATGTCATAGACAAAAAGGCAAAATCAGGTATTGTCTTAAATCTCTCAAATGAGGTTTTACGTGAAGTTTCTGTACAAACCACAGCCAAAGGCATGTGGAAAAAATTGAAAACCTTGTATATGAAGAGAATGGTGAAAAATAGACTTTACCTAAAGCAGAAGCTTTACATAATTCGTATGGGTGAAGGTACCTCTATTCTCTCTCATCTCGACATATTTGATTCTATTCTTATGGATTTGAGTAATATAAATGCTGAAATTAACGATGAGGATCAAGTTATTTTACTGCTTTATTTTCTACCCCCCATCTCTTAAGCATATAAGAGATACTATACTTTATGCAAATGTTAATATCTCTTATAAGGATATTAAATCTATCTTGAAATCAAAAGAATAGTTAAATAGTGATATTACTGGGGAGGCTAGTAGAACTCAAGCAGAAGTTGGCTTGTTTGTTAAGGGTAAATCCGAATCAACCAGATACAATAATTTATAGTGTTGCTATTATCATAAGAAAGGTCACAATCTCCGAATGCTACAAGCTGAAAAATGAAGAAAAACATAAGGAAAGGAAAAATGAGCACAAAGATATTGACACCACTGAAGCTAGTGTAGCAACTGATGAGATTGGAGGAATTATATTTTTAGCAACTGAAACTAGTTTTAGATCAGACAATGAGTGAATTTTAGATTCCGATTGTTCGTATCATATGTGTCACAGCAGGGACTTATTTTCTACATATGATTCAGTTTAAGGTGGAGTTATCCAATTGGGTAATAATGCTACTTGTAACGTTGTTTGCAAAGGTACAATTCGGGTCAGAATACATGATGGTGTGGTGAGAACTCTCACCGATGTTAGATATGTTCCTGAGTTGAAGAAAAATATCATCTCTTTGGGCACTTTAAAATTTTCTGGGTACAAATTCATTGGTGAAGGTGGAGTTCTGAAATTTTTTCAAGGTACTCTTGTGATCATGAAAGTACACAGATCTGGTTCGTTGTATACTTTATTGGGATCTACTATTACATGCAGTATTACAGTTTCAGTATCAGACAACTTGGCTGATTTTGATGACATTATATTTTGACATAAATCTATTGGGGCTTTTCTGGAGGTGGAGTAAAATAACTATATCATCCAATTTAGGTCAAGGTGGAGATTTGTAAGACATGGCCTAAATTGTTTCATGGCTAATCTTGGAGCCAAAGCGAACTTGGAGCCAAAATACTCAAACCGGAGCCAAAGCATTCTAGCTTGGAACAAAAGAATTAAAGTATTTTCTTTTATTCTTTTTTTCTTTACTTGGGGACCAAAAACTTTGCCATATAAATATGGGTCATCTTAGTTCATTTGAATCATCCCATATTTTGATTAGAAACCCATTTTGAGTATTTTTGCAATAGGGATTTTTGTTATATTTCATAGAGTTAGTGTTGGAAACACTTTGAGTGAACCTCTTATTTGTGAGTGATTATAGCGAGGTTATTCTCTTGGGATAATTAGAGTTTCATCTCTAATTTTGTACTCTCTTTTATGTGCCGGTTGTTATAGTGAAATTACTCCTCTCCGCTTGTGGACGTAGGTCACCTTGACCGAACCACGTTTAATTTTGTGCCTTTTTTATCTTCTTTGTTACCGTTATTGGCTTCTTTGTTATAATCATTATAACGTTGTTTGGATAAATTCCGCACTACTCCGGTACTCGATCCTAACAATTTCCAATCTAACTAGTAGCTCAAATCCTAATCATTGGTAAATGCCAGAAATCTCTTTTTATGCTAAATAAGTGATCGAAGATCCCTTATATATGTTAAATAAATTCCTTCATCTGTCCAAAAATAATAAACTCTTTGGCATCAGTTTGGAAGCACCGTCAAATGATGTTACACTTTTGAAAAATATTTTCATAAGAAAAATGAATAATTGATACATAAAAGTATTTAAATTCTTATGAATACGAGAGAGATAAATTTTGACTTCGTTGATTTACTGCATGATAGATTTTTTTATTGAGTTTTCCTGCAGATGTCCATCTTAGTCCTGGGCCGTGGACTTGCCACATATTGGTTCACTGACCTGATTTTCTTTTTCTGCGAGAGCTTGATGCTGACAATTAAGTGATCTACCATAATATATTTTAGTTAAGCGATGTCACTAAGTTAAAAGGAACGAAAAAAATATCTAAGTAAAAAGGGGCCAACTAGCTTCACTTGGTGAATTTTTCCTTTTTGCGGCAAAATTTGGATATGAACCATAACTATATGAATTTAAGCGACCAAAAAGCAATTACAGGTATCAAGTCTATAGTTTTTGACCTTTTTGGCACTTGTTTAGCATATAAAGCAATTTTATGGGTCGAGTATTGAGTCGGATCTGAGGTTTATGGTTAAAATGAGTTGAGTTTAATGTTTTTTATTTATTAGCTTAAAAATAAATAGGTGTCACATTATTAAAAAGTGGTAGGATGTATCACTTCTGGCTTGAATAACCTTTTGAATGAAATAATAAAAGATAATTCACTTTTTTGATAAAAAATGTAACTTTTTCACCTATTCAATAGTTTAGTAACCATTTAGACAATGAACTCCAAAAATCTGCCTTATAGATGGTTTTATCATGTAATACCAATAACTATTTATGCAGAAATTTACCTCAATAAAACAAAATTATATAAATAACCTAAACTGAACATGCTCTTTGTCAATTCGATTATTGCCACTTTTTTCTACTATAGTTAAGAGAAAAAAAATTAATTATTGGCGAAAATATTAATTATAATTTTGATAAGTGTTTTTCCTCACAATTAATACTGTCAACCAAAAATAATTTTAGTGAGTCAAAATTTTTTGAAGTCACATGTTAAATCCAGCCCAAGTCCATATATATATATATGTAACATAAAAAAAGGTGATGGATTCATGCCTCATCAATTCCGTAGCATTTCCTTCTCTTTTCGCCTACAAAAATAAATCCAGCAAAAGCACGTGTAAAACACAAAAGTTATTTATTGGCGAAAATTTTAATTATAATTTTTAAAAGTGTTTTTTCTCACAATTATTTCATGATATCTTTTGTTACTGTCAACCAAAAACAATTCTAGCGAGTCTAAAAATTTTGAAGTCACATGTCAAATTCAGCCGAAGTCCATATATATAACATTAAAAAAAAAGTATAAAGGTAAAGGATTCGAACCTCATCAATTGCGTAGCATTCCCCTCATTTTCCCCTACAAAAATAAATCCAGCAAAAATTGTGTTCAGCTTTACAATGCTTGAAGAGTATTCATCTGTCACAATCCCAATCTCCATCCGTGGGATGTCGTGATGGAACCTAATCTCTAAGATTAAGTAAGCCTAACATACATGAAGAATTTAGCGAAAAACAATAATAAAACTTCCAATTTAAACCAATAGCTATCACAAAAAGGACTCCTTGTACATCAATATCTATAAAAAAAAAAGGAGAATGAAATAGAAACTAGATAGAGGGTGACTCCGAGGCCTGCGAACGCCGGCAAGTATACCTTGAAATCTCCAATCCAAGCTCGACTTACTGATGCCTAGGCTGGTATAAAGTGCCTGGATCTACACAAAAAGATGTGTAGAAGCGTAGCATGAGTACACCACAACGGTACCTAGTAAGTATTAAGTCTAACCTCGGTAGAGTAGTGACGAGGTCAGGTCAAGATACCTACTGGAATAAATAAAGAAACTAAACAGATAAAGTACACTATAATAATGAAATACAATGAAGAAATAAAACAAGAATAGCTACACTGAAATTAAGGCAATTAAGGCATCACGGAATAAAACACATATTAAGAATGCCAAGGAAACGATGCAAACGAAACACAAGTGATGGAGATGAAAGGTATCAACAAGAATCACTACCGAGGTACCGCCTCGTAGTCTCATTTCACAAATCAAATCACAATCTTTTCTTATATCACTGCGAGAGCCTTACATTTAGTTTTAAAAATTATTTTTCTGAAATAGCTACCCGCGTTTTAGCCCACCTTATCACACCGCGTAGTTTCAAGTAGTTCTCCTACTAGCAACACGCGTATCAACCCCATCTTATCTCACCACATGTGTATCAACCCCAATCCTTATGCCACCGCATACGTATCAATATCACAACATATCACAAATCACACCTCAAGTGCCCAAACCATAACTTGCCAAAAGAAGTCAACAACAATAATGTTTCCACAATTGAAAGGATTCATTTTTCTAGTATCTTAAAAATGTGCGCCTTAGAGCTTAAATCTTTGAACATCTAGTTATGAATTTATTAATAATGTATTAGTTTTTTTAATATTTAATTAGTAAATTATGTGTATCTTTTCAGATTTTTTATTTGAATAATTCCTTGTCTTTTACATGTAACATTAAAAAGGGAAAATAATTAATTGTTTGATAATTATTTTCTTTAACGGCCTAAAGATATTAACCGTCAAATACTGTTATAGCTGTATAACAATCATTCACTATAAAACATAATATATCGGAATGAACAATGTTATTATATAGAGGCTTGACTGTATCATTTATCGAAAGTTCTGATATTATAAAATTTTATTTTCCTAGAGTAATCAAACGCGTACTAGGAAGAAATTCCATCAAATGTTCACTCAATATATATCCAATAGGTTTAACTGAACCTAATTATATTTTTGATATGGAAGACATATATGTATATATGTGTGTAAACCATTAAATTTTAAACAAATATTAAAATCACTGGATAAATAAATATGTTCCTTCCCATGTCAACATATGTCATTGTCATCATCAACATCCAGAAAATCGTATACTTTGGAAGAAGCTTAACTTCTATATTTTGGGAATGAGTTTTGATTGATCAGATAAGAATATACTTCAACTGATAATATGCCTTTAGATACTGCCATATATAACATAGCTAGAAATCAAATTTGGAAAGGATGAACAACCAATTCTAAACCAATAGTTTTAAAGTTACATTATGGATAGTACTAAGAACGTTTACCATTGACTACTCAAATTTAAATTCTAGATCCTGACACTTCTTATAGGTACAAATGACCTATAATTTCTACCACCGAAGTGTAAGTACCTACAATCATAATAGCAATGCCCATTACCACAATTCCCAGTATAACTACTAGCTCAAATCCTAGTATTTGATAAATACCAGAAATCTTCACGAAACACAAGCATGGGAGTATTATAGAAGCTGTGATGCTCAAAAATGCTCCAACAAGTGACATGAGATATCCAAATAAGGGAATAGCTAAGGCTACAATAATAGTGCTAATAACTAAAGCTGTTCTGATAAGTATACTTAAGAGCCTTTTATTGAAATTAATTGGAAGTTGATTTTCAAAAGAATTCACCAGAGGTTTTATCATTAAGCCATACTTGGCTATTGGATTGACCAGTGTGGTGTAAATTGCCACTTTTGAGCTAATTTTATTAGTGGGGAGGTTTAAGGTTATTTGGGAAAGTACAGTTGGACCAAACATGAGATACCCCACAATTGCCATTGATGCATAGCTGATGGTGCAAAGTAGAAAGCAAACCAACATGACCTGCCACAAAAGATTGCAATAAATTAAGTAGTCAGTACATAGCATAAAAGAAAGGAGTTTAACCTGTACACTTAGTATAAATAACTTTTATGCTATTATGTAATTTAAAACCTACTATAGGTAATTTTGTTTACGAATAATTCCACTTTTGGTCCTTCAATTATTAATAAATTCTTATTGATCCCTATAACAGTTGATTAGCACATTTAACCTTCTATTGACTAGGATATAAAATTTATGCTTCTATTCTTTTTATATAGGATATATGTTATAGTATTAGATTATGTTTAGAACTATATAATTTAGCCCGGAGGCGGAATTGAAATTTGAAGTTTATGGGTCCAGAGATTCTAGTTATTTTTAAGTTATTGGGTTATAAATTAGTAAAATTTGTATATATTCAAACAAATTTTTAAAACAAATACAGGGTTTGAACCAAAGCTAGTGGGTTCGGCCAAACTTGCAAACCAAACACTAGCTCTAACCCTGATATAGCCCATAAATATAGAGTAATAGTGCAAATTTAACATAACTCGTTGGTAGTTTGAATGGGTTAAGACCTAATAATTTGATAACTTTGTCAAGAGTACTGATCATAAACAGTGACCAAAAGAGATCAATTAATGCAAGGTTAATTGTGTTTAACTAGAAATCACAAGGACTAAAATGATAATTTGTCAATATTTGAGGGACTAAAAGCACAAATTTCCTATTTTGCAACTAGTATGGATTGGTAACTGCTAATTATTTTAAATAATATGTTATAACATGTTACGTATTATACTTAATAGTAAAATAATCTTTTACATTGTCAGCATATATAACTTAATTTATAAAAAGAAATAAGTGTATAATAAAATATGCGAAACTAATAATGCCTTGGTATTCATACCTTAGAGAACTTCTTTGGATTTATCATGGAAGTATATAATGTTGGAAAAACTGGATGAGCACAATAGCAGAAGGCATAGAGGCTAACAGCAGTAGGCATTCCTTTCCAGTTTATGAACTGAGTCCCATTTGCTTGAAATCCAAGCCCATCAAATACAGCAGCCCACAAGATGGACCCAAGTAGTACAATAGAGGCCACTACTCCACTAGCAGATATATAAGAAAGAATGCTCATATTATTCAACCAAACAGTAGGCAGAATAATGAGGCTAATAATAACCACAAAACTCTGTTTTCCACCAATGGTAACTCCAAATATTTGAAATTCTATGTCTCCGAATAAATTTTGTAAGTTATCTCCCTCTAAAATCAAGAAACCTGTTACGACCATATAAAGTTCCACATTCATCGTCGTGGAGACAAGCATTCTTCCACCCTTTCCGAATGCGCGTTCCCCGATATCAGGGTAGCTTGTTATAGTTGGATCAATGTCCATGCATCTTTGGATTAATAAGCTTGTGTAATAAGTAGAGATGGCGATAATGAAGAGAAATATCAAGCTCAACCATCCTCCTGATGCTAATGCGTAAGGTACTGAAAGTATGCCAACTCCTGAGGGAAAAACAACAATTACTATCTATCACTTTAACTACGAAAAATTTGGTCCAAATATTTGTCGCTTCAATAAATTTAAAAACAGACTAATATTTCTTTTTTCTTTCAAATTGGGTGTATAAACCGAACTGAAAAATCGCATCAAACCGAAAAATCAAATTAAATCGATTAAAAAATCCGATTAGATTTAATTTGGTATTGAGTAATAAAACTTGAACAAAACCAACATATACATATATTATTTTATATATACTTCTAAGTCTTTCTATAGAGTTTTCTTTAAAAAAATATCTAAAAATATTTGGGATTCTCTGTGGTACGTAATATGTTAGAGTTATCTTCTTGTATATTACTTGTTGTAGGACTATTTTGAATATTTCTTGTACTTATCCTATATGTAGATATATGTTGTAACTTTCTCTTATAAATACAAGAAAACAGAGAGCAACTCTCGTTTTGACCCTTCCATTTATCTCTTTCATCTTAATATTTAATAGAATATGGAGTCCATTTTTATTAACTTTAAATAGTGGGTTATATAATCATTTTTTTATCAAGTGTTATTGAAATGCGTTATTTTCTCTGTTCTTCCATATTCATATGTCAAGTCTACTAAATTTTTAATCTTTTTTAAATTTAAAGTGGTATTTCGATAATTTAAAATTAAATAGAATATAATTTAGGTATCATATTGATTTTTATGTTTTCTTAATAAATTCGGTTAACCTTGAAAATGGACATCAAGGAAAAATTATTGTCGGACGATAAAAAAATAACTATAATGTGTTAGTAAGAAAATTTTCCCATAAGAATATTTTAATAGATCACATATTTATTAATTTTTTTAATTTTTACTAAATATATATTTACTTATAAAAAATTTAATAAAATAAAATTGAAATAATATTCATGTAACAAGAAAATCTTGAAAACTCGAAAAACCCGACAAAATTGAACCAACCTAAACCGATATAGTTGGTTTGATTTGATTTTGATAGCAACGAACCAACCTGGTCCATGTACGCCACTTCCAAAGAAGGCATATTGTCGTTACTTATATTCATTTAAGGAAGAGATAAAGATAATTTAGTGAAATACTTTTTATAATTACTGTTACAAAATGATATTTTAAAATAAACCTATAAAAACTTTCTGCCAAAACCTCCTGATCTAATGCAAAGTACTAAAAGTATGCCAAAAAACAACAACAATAATTTATTAAGACTTGTCTCAATCAGTCTATAAGGTTACAAGCGTAAACCTTGAAATGCTAAATTTTGCCATTTTCAAAATTAGAGGAGAACCTGACAAAGCATTGAGTCCATTGAAACAAGTTCTTGAAAAGGAGGTTGGTCCAGCTGAAACGAACTCATGTTGAACTTGAGGATCCTCTAGTCCTGTTTCTTCGCTGCTACCTTGGTTTTGCTTGTGATAGTTGTCATTGGCAACTAAGAGCCGCACTCTAATATTTGAGTAGTCATCTTCTGATTTAGGCTCCATGCTCAAGTACTCTTCTTCTGTTAGATGTTTTGCTTTTTCCTCTATGTTTATTATAATCAAAGAGAAGAAGAGGAAGATGAAGAGAGCTAGCGCAGTTCTTGTGGGAAAAAAGCAACCAGAATTGACTCTTATGTGATAAGAGATGAGGTTGCTTTTTACAGTACGTGTACTTGACCTGTCATTTCAAAAATGAGAAAAGAAAAGGATAGAACTTTCGAAATGAAAATAAAAAGGATAAAGAATTTGAAATAAAAAGGACAAATGTTTTGAAACATATTAGTTTTACCCTTCATTTCATTTTGGCCGAATACATACGTAATCACTTAAACTTAGCACATTTTTACTTTCACGCTTAAACTTAGGCTTGTTCCTGTTCGACATCTGAACTATGTCTGAAGTGTAACATTTGAACACCTCATATACATGTGGCACAATGAGTGATCTTCACTCAAAATTGAGCGCGTGAATATTTGGATGAATTTTTTTTTTTCTTTTCGTCTCTATTCTTTGCCACCCGAAACAACACTATTACCATCACCAACTAAGCTTAATTTACCTAAAAATTCACCTTTACCATTGCCAACAATGAGTCCAAAATCACAGCCAATTCCCGTATCCATACTAACCCCGTCACCACCACCCAATGTGTTTTGCATTTTCACTGTTTCCTTCGACGCCCATGTGATGAATTTCTTGTAATAAGTAGTAAAAAATTTCTGTAACTCTATACACAAATTATGATGGATTGACGACAATTGGGGAAAAAGGTGGTGAGGAATATTCGATCGACCACTTGGTGTGATGAAAAGAATGCTTCGACGGGGTGCCGGCGTTCCGTTTCCGACGAGGTTGTGATGCAGATAGTTGTGCGGTGACCTATTTGGTGTTTAAATATGCTGATAGTTCGATATTGGCGGTGTGCTGTTCCAAAAAGGTTGGTTCAAAAATGGCGATGATAGGTTGGGAAGTGGTTTCCATCGCCGGTGGGTGGCTTTTTTGGTGGTTCAGAAGTGGATAGGAAAAAAACAAAAAGATAAAATGGGAAAAGCCACATGTCGACATTTAATTTGGTGTTTTACCATGTTAAGGTGCGTATACATCAGTCTTTTTATTTTTATGTAGAAATTATCACTGAGGTGTTCATTAGGCATACTTCAAACATAGTTCAGATATCTAATAGGAACGAGCCTAAGTTTAAGTGTAGAAGTAAAAATGGGTGTCAAGTTTAGACGTCTACGTATGTATTTGGCCTTTTATTTTGGGAGCATTCATATCCTACCATTTTCATCTTATACTTTCTCTTGACTCTAGTGTAACTTCAACCTGAAGCATAACAGATGTAATTTCAAATCAAAGTAAAAAGTAGACGGGTAAATCAAATTTTGAACTCTTTTTTTTTCAAAACGTTTTTATACGTGGAATCCACCCTATTTACACTAGAATTCTATTAAAGGTAAGGAAAATATGAAACAAGTTGCTAACCACAAAATAGAAAGGAACCTATACAAATAGTTGGTCAGAAATATTATTTATATTTTCTAGTCGGTATTACATAGATTGTACATTTATTATACATGTTTATTTATATACTATTCTCTGTGCACATTGTTTACCGATAAAACGATACAGTTGAATTTATATGTGGTTTATAGAAAAGTGAATCGATTTAATTCTAAAATAATAAATAAATTAAACAAGAATATAGGACTTAACATTGAAATCGAGATAAAACAGTAGAAATCCTGGTTCCGGGAGCAGAGCTTTCGGAGGCAATAGTGACAGTATTAGAAAGCAAGAAGATAAAATAGTTTTGAGCTTTTAACAGAGTATAGTATATGTTTGTCAGAAAATTCGTGTCTTTTACAATGGTTGTAGAGCTCACTATTTATAGTTGTACCTAGAAAACAAGCCCCTAGGATCAAACCCCTCTTAAATGACAATTATGTGGGCCATTTAAGAATGTGTAACGATAGGCAATGAATGTCATATTCTCTGTAACGGACCGTGCACTTAATGCTATAGAATATTCTCCATTAAATATTACCGGGCGGCAGGTATTTAATTCGCCTTTATGAATACCATTCCCTTCGGTAACAAGCGAGATCGTTGCCTTCGGACCTGATTGTCTTCTGTCTTTGGCTCCACGTGTCGCTTTATCATGTGATCATTTAATATGATAAAGCGACAGTATTAGTAAGCAAGAATTAGGAGGCAATAGTGACAATATTAATAAGCAAGAAGATAAAATAGTTTTGAGCTTTTAACAGAGTATAGTATATGTTTGTCAGAAAATTCGTGTCTTTTACAATGGTTGTAGAACTCACTATTTATAGTTGCACTTAGGGAACAAGCCCCTAGGATCAAGCCTCTCTTAAATGACAATTATGAAGGCCATTTAAGAATGTGTAACGGTAGGCAATGAATGTCATATTCTCTGTAACGGACCGTGCACTTAATGCTATAGAATATTCTCCATTAAATATTACCGGGTGGCAGGTATTTAATTCGCCTTTATGAATACCATTCCCTTTGGTAACAAGCGAGATCTTTTCCTTTGGACCTGATTGTCTTATGTCTTTGGCTCCACGTGTTGCTTTATCATGCGATCATTTAATATGAACATATTTTACCCTATACAGATAGTCCCTCTACTTTTCAGTGGCATAACCTTGTGTCACCGGAAAGTTGGTAGATACCTTTTTTTGGCGGAAAATTCTTTGAACCCCTGTGAAAGTTTCTGACGGTTGATTAGATGCACATCTCTTCGCATTTAATGCCCCGAACACGCATCATCCCACTATTCAACACCACTTTTGCTTGTTATCGAGGTATTTATGACCACGATTTTAGCCGCCTAATCCTTTATTTATACGCAACAAGCTTCTCCATTTACACTTCACAACTTTCCAAACTCTCTTAGACTCTCTTTACTCAACTCATACTTGTCTTCAATTTTCCCTAATCTTATTCTTCAAAAAAATCTTTTTCTCCCTTCTAAAAACAATGGCCTCCTTTTCCAGAAATTCCAATTCCTCAAAGACCAAAAGTAATGCTGATGATATTGCCCCTCCCATGATGAGCACCATTATTCTAATAAAACTCATCACAACTAAGGACTTCGAAGAGAAGTATCCTTCCGCCAACCCTCGCACATGGGCTGTTGGTGTGCATCTTTCTTCCATTCGTTCTTCCAGTATTCCTGTTGTGAAGGAAGACTATCGTTGTCATGATTTAAACATCATCGCTCCTGATCTTTCGGAGCTGATAACCTTACCCAAGAAGGGTTTCACGTGTGTTTACACATATCCCTTCACTTTGGGCCTGTTCTCCTTGAGGGGGGGAGCTTGACTCCGTTATCGTGAAGTTTTGCATCTGTTACAAGGTATGCGTAGTATAGGTACGTCCTTCTGTGTGGAGGACAATTGCTTGTCTTCGGTGTCTATGCCAAGAGACGTGAGAAGAGATATTCCTGGCTCGACTAATGAACCTTTATTCCCTTAAGATTTTTCGCGGAAAAATGATAATTTTCAGCAAACATGGCCACCATGCTTTTCTAACCAGTATGGATGATAACAACGACTGTGGATGGATGGAACGGTTTGTTGCAGTTCCCACCAGGGACATCATTCCGGCCACGACTCCATCCTTTCGGGAATTATGGAACTGTACTCGTAAGTTCATCATTTGTCTTTTCTTCTAGTTAACGATTGCCCCATGCTTTTATTGATCCTTCTTCATTCACTTATTTCAACAACTCGGTGGACACCATCAAGGGTTGAAGGCTTGGACCAGTGGGTCCAAAAGATTTTGGATGTCACTACGCCCGAGACCCGCACGTGGAAAGAATTGGCCCTTAAATATGGGTGGAAGGCGAAAAATCATGGTAGGTCGAACTCATCTTTCTTTTACCTTTCGTATAAGAAAATTGATTAACCTGTCTCTCCTGTTGAACTCATGTCTACCCCAAGGCTCCGTTACCGTCCCCTAGGAGGTGTTTTGGCTGATCCCTCAGATGCGGCGAGGTTGTTGCATGAGGCCTTTGCCTGAACTGGTATAGTTGGTCCTGTTTCCGGTGCAAGTGCTTCTTCTCGTAGTCCCCAGCCAGAGAACAAGCAAACAAAAAGACGACATTCCTCCACGGCCGAGGGTAAAAATAAAAAGGTGAAAGGTGTCGCGCCCGAGCCATCCACGGATGCTATGGTGATGAGCGTCGCGTCCGAGTCAGCCATAGACACTGTGGTGATCGACGATGATGGAGGAGCAAGTGATGAGAGGGCTTCTCTATATAGAAGATGATGACCTTCATCAGCTCAACATAATGCTCAATCTATTGGGCTAGTTACGCCAATCTAGGACGATGCCTCGGCACTCTGAGAGGAGTATAATGTAGTGGAAGATGCCAATTCTCTCTTCCGAGTCCCAGTCGTTGTTCCCGGTACCGTGAGGCTGGGTACCAGTTCTCTCCCATCCTCGATTGATGAGAAACCAACAACTAGCACTGCGGTTTCCGCAGCTACTTTTCAACCTACAATGCCATCGGCTTCATCTCCTTCTTCACCAACTCTGCCTTCGCCACCAGCAACTGCTACATCATCTCCACCGGCCGTAGTTGTCCGAGAGGAGGATGTCACTCTTCCTTATTCCCCAGTTCATGGGGATTTGGGGCACAATTATTCTGCCCCTTCGATGATCCCCAAAGGAGGAGGAGTGTCTCTCTCTCGGTTTCTACCAGATGCCATTTTCTATCTCGGTCGGTGAAACTTGCTAATTATCTGAAGCCTCTGGATTCATAAAAAGATAGGAATAAAATACATTCTCGAGAGAGAGAGTGTTTGTTGAACAACACCACGCACAAAGCAACAACGGTACAAAATTTGTTTCCTATGTTGTTCTTTCTATCTTTGTTACTGCGGGGTTTTTAGTTTGTATTTCTATTTTGCAGGCTAACTTTCTTGCTTCCGAGGGCCTTCAAAGGTTGATTCTTGATAAGGAGGAACTCACCTCCGAGCGGGATCAACTTTTGGCCGAGCGAGATCAAACTGATGCTTGCCTCTCAGAACTGGAAGCACGAGTTGCTGATGTCGTTGAATTGGAGGCTCAATTACAACAAAGCGAGCAAGAGGTAGTGACCCTTGGCCAAGAAGCTTCCATGTTAAGGGTACTATTCGAGGAGGCTAGGGCCAAATGGGTTGAAGTCCATAATGCCATTATTGTTGCATCTGATCGTGAGGTTGCCTCTGCTAAAAGATTGAATAATTTGGACGTAGCCTTAAAGTCCAAAGATGAAGAAGTTACTAATGCCGAGGAGAAGTATGCCCGGTTAGAAGAGAGGCATAAGGGGGTCATAGAGCACAATAAAGTTTTTAGCTCCACTGTCTGTGACCTCGATGTCAGCCTCCAGGCCACTAGATCCGAGCGGGAAAACCTTTCAACTGAGGTTGACCGTCTTAAAGAAGAACTTCAGCACCGAGCGTCTTCCCTCATTGTTGAAAAAACATATTCTATGTATAGCATGAGGAGAAAAACCTTGGAAAAGGGCGAAGCTGGCGTCATTGATTTCGATGCCGAAATCGCTAAGGCCCGTGATATTGAGTCAACTACCCGAAGGGGTTTTCCGGTCCGGCCTGATGCTAACGACTCTTCTAGTTCCGGTTCCGAGTTCTCAAGAACTGAATAATAACCGAAAGGTGATGATGCTGAAGACCAAGATGGTGAAGGCTAAGATATTGAGTTAGAGTTGAATCCACCCACTTCTCCTAGGGTGCAGATGCTTCTCTTCCTCTGAGTTCCGAAGATGCCGTAGCTTAGCTTTTGCTTTTTTTTCTATACTTTTGTACTCGTGCTTCTTGGCACATTTGTTATAAATAGAAGTACTTTTTCGTTCAAGTATTGTACAAGTTTTTCTTTTTGCATTCTTTATTCTTTAAGTATTCTTTTTGTTCAAGTATTTGGATTCTGGGCATAAGTTCTTTCGAAATCAACCCTTTAATATAAGGGTTTCATAAGAGAGGGCCCTAATATGTTTACGGTGCTCTTGAAGAGGACGCCACCTATTCATTACGACACTATCATTTGAAGTACTTATTTAACTTTCAGATGATAAAATTAATTCATCGATAGGACAGGAAACAAGATAAAAATAAAAGGACTTTACTTTATTCCTTCCATTTTCAAAAGTACATAAGCTTTCATTGTGCTAAAAAATAAATTGACATTACTTGTGGCTAACTTGTATAACTTGTTTCTACGGGGCTAGCCGCGCAGTCCCTGGTCCCGATGATACAACTTTGTTTTTGGGTATTGTATTCCTGGCCGATGTGGCAGTCA